TGCCTGAATTGTTTCTGCTGAGTAGTCTTATTCGTTCTCCTTTGTAGGTTTGTTTATCCCTAGCCACTCTCAGGATTCTTTGTCTTTGGTTTTGGCAAGTTCGATTATGGTATGTCTTGGTGACTTTCTTTTGGGGTCTACCCTGTATGGGGTTTGTTGAGCTTATTTGATAGATATCGTTTCATCTTTCATGATTTCAGGAAAGTCTTCTGCTGGCAAATATTCAACAATTCTCTCTGTGTTTTCTGTTATCTCACCTGTTCTGGTACTCCGATCACTCATAGGTTTTTCCTCTTCATAGTGTCTCACATAATTCTTAGGCTTTCTTCATTTTTTTATTCTCTTTGTCTGATTTTTCCTCAAATAAATTGGTGTGAAGGGATTTATTTTCAGTCTCACTAATTATGACTTCCATTGTCTCGTTTCTGCTCCTATGATCTTCTACTTAGTTGTCTAATTCTGAAATTTTATTGTTAATCTTTTGGATTTCTAGTTGCTGTTTTTGTATGGTTTCTAGCATCCTGTTAATTTTGTCATTTTGTTCTTGTATTATTTTCCTGAATTCCTCTACTGGTTTGTCTGTGTGTTCCTTGGCTTGTCTGATTTTTGCCTGATCTCCTTCCTGATATCTTGGACAGCTCTGTCTATTAGTCTTTTGAATTCTTTCTCAGGTAGTTCCATGGCCTTATCTTCCTCTGGAAGGTTTTCTGGTTCTTTATTTTGGTTGCTTGCTGGAGCCATCTTGATCTGCCTTTTTATGTGGTTTGATATTGACTGTTGTCTCTGAGGCATCAATAAGTTATTATATTTATTTATTTGTTGTATGTTTGCTTACTGTGTCCTGACTTTTTTGTTTTTATATGTCCACGTAGGCTGGCAGTGTGAGCCACTTCGGTTGTTTGTGTCTTTGAAGCTCTTGTGTCTGTTTTCAGGTGGTCAGAGCAGCTACTAGGCATGTGACCCCAAGAGTCTGTTTACTTTTCTTGTGCGAGGGTGGCATGGTTGTCTGGGTCATCATCAGTCCCCAAGTCTGTGGTGCAGACCCTCACCTACAGTCCTTATGTGGGCAGGGCTATGTAGGGGTGTTCGGAGCAGGCACAGGTATCTGGCTACAGTGGGTGTCTCTATGTGGAGCAAAGCAGGGGGCTGACAGCTGCCCCTGGGTGCCTGGGTGGAGGGGGTGTCCCTGTCCCCTAGAGCACATAGTGGGTGGGTGTTGCAGCTGTTCCTTGAGCACCCGGTGCTGTTGGCTGCAGGGACTGGGAGGCACCACTAATTCTCAGACCCCTGTCGTGGGTAGCTAGATGAATGGGTGATACCACCAGCCTTCAGGCCCCCAGTGTGGGTGGGTGAGGCTTCTGCTTAGGGAGCAGGGTGGTGTCAAATGTCAAGAATCTGCAGCTCCCCCTTGACTTCTGCAGTTGAAAATGGGCTTCAGGTGTATGCTCTGCTGTTTTATGCGAATGAGGGTATGCAGTGTTGAATTGGCCCACACAGGTCTGGTCAGGGGTGAAAGGCAGTGCAAGTCCATGGACCCCTTAGGCCAGTGGCTGGGCAAAGGGGCAGGGCCGCCCGTCCAGCCCTGAGTTCCTGGCTTAGGGGGCATGGCATTTTTTTAATACTGTGGGACTGGTGTCAAAGTGGAGCAGGTTGGGGTGTGGGAGAGGGGAAGGAAGCGCTTCTCTGCTGTGAAACTCAGCGGAAGGAAGGGATTATTTTGCCCCCGCATGGTAGGTTAGAAGCTTGCACTTAACTTTTGCAGGTGTCGCTTCTACTTGGTTCTGGAGGCTCATGCAGATTCACTGCTGCTTGATTGCACTGGATGTGATGGAGCTCGTCTTTAGGTAATGCTGCTTGCCTCAGCCCGTGTGTGCTGCACAGACTCAGCTAGCAGGGCACTGGCAATCTTGCTGTCTCTACTTCTCTGCTGCTTTTGAATTGTCTCTCCTTCCACCTGCTGCTCAACTTTGTCTCTGATGATTAGGGCTCGAGATTGTCATATATAATCAATTAACTTGTTTGTTGGGTCTTGTTGTAAGAGGGATGACAGGAAGTATCTGTATATTCTGCCGTCTTAGCCCTACCTCATCTTTGTGTGCTTATTAGTGGCATCGTTTGCTTTGTTCAAGCTATGTTGATTACAACCACATTCTGTTCTACTTTTCCCATCACCAAAAATAACAAGTATCTATGATTTAGATAGTTATTTCCTCCAACCCTGGTAACCACCAGTTAACATTGGTCTCTGTATACTTACCCCCCTCTACACTTATTGGCATGGTTGGGTTTCATGGACCAGGTTGTTACACAAAAATGGAGGATGACCACATCTGATCACAGCATTTTATGTGGGACACGTGTGTCCCTCTGGACCCAAGAGGCAGAAAATGTTGGTGGTTGTGGTGTGTGTCACTGATTATGAAAGGGTTACTGCCAGCTGTACACCATTAATGTACAAAATAGTCAGATAGTGGATTTTTTACTAATATCAGAAGTGCAGAATGTTGGATAACGAGATAGTTGATAAGTGAGGAGTAGGTACCTGCCTATTCTTATAGTTTGCTAATATTTTGTAGAAAATTTTTGCATCTATATTCATAGGGATATTGATGTGCAGTTTTCTTTTCTTGTAGTGTCTTTGTCTAGCTTTGGTATTGGGTATTGGTCACAGAATAATTCAGGAAGTGTTTCCTCCTCTTCTATTTTCTGGAAAAGTTTCAGAAGGATTATGGTCATTTCTTCTAGAAATGTTTGGTAGGATTTCCCAGTGAAACCATCTGGTCCAGGACTTTTCTTTGTTGGGAGCTTTTTGACTATTGATTCAATCAGCCTCTTCACTTGTTATGAATCTGTTGAGATTTTCTATTTCTTCTTGAGTCAATGTAAGAAGTTTTTGTGTTTCTAGGAATTTGTCCATTTCCAGTAAGTTATCTAATTTGTTGGTGTATAATTTTCATAGTATTCTTTTGTGATCCTTTTCATTTCCGTATAGTCAGAAATGTCCCCACTTTCATTTCTAATTTTAGATATTTGCATCTTTTTTCTCTTTCTCTTTGTCACCCTAGCTTAAGGTTTGTCAGTTTTATTGCTCTCTTCATAAAACCAACTTCTGATTTCATTGATTCTCTTTATTATTTTTCTATTGTCTATTTTACTTATTTCTGTTATCTTTATTATTTCCATTCTTCTGGTTCCTTTGGGCTTAGTTTACTCTTCTTTTTCTAGTTCCATGAGTTGTAAAACTAGATTATTGTTTAGATCTTTTTTAATGTAGGTGTTTACTGCTCTAAATTTCCCTCTGAACACTGCCTTTGCTGCATCCCATAAATTTTGGTATGCTGTATTTTCATTTTTACTCAACTCTAAGTATTTTCTAATTTTTCTCTTGAGTTCTTCCTTGACCCATGGTGGTTTAATAGTGCGCTGTTTAATTTCTACATACTTGTGTATTTTTCAATTTTCCTTTTGTTATCAATTTCTAATTTAATTCCATTGTGTTCAGAGAAGATGCGTCGTATAATTTCTGTCTTTTTAGATTTATGGAGACTTCCTCTGTGACTTAACATTTGGTCTATCCTAGAGAATGATTCAGGTACACTGGAGAAGAATATATTGTGCTGTTGTTAGGTAGAGTGTTCTATATATGTCTGTTAGATCTACTTCATTTATAGCATTATTCAAATTATTTATTTCTTTATTGATATGATTTCTAGATATGCTATCCATTATTGAAAGTGGTGTGTTGAAGTCTACAACTATTTTTGTAGAACTGTCTATTTCTCTCTTGAATTCTGTCAGTGTTTGCTTTATATATTTTGAGGCTCTGAAATTAGGTGCATATACATTTATAACTGTTTTATCTTCTTGGTGAATTGAACCTTTTATCATTATAATCTTCTTGGTGAATTGACCCTTTTATCATTACCTTTTATAACAGATTTTGACTTAAAGTCTATTTTGTCTCATATTAAAATCACCAACCCGGGTCTCTTTTGATTACTATTTGCATGCAGTTATTTTTTCCCCATCCTTTCACTTTCAGCCTATTTGTGTCTTTGTGCCTAAGATGTATCTCTTGTAGACAGCATATAGTTGGATCTTTTTTTTTTTTTAAATCTATTCTTCCACTCTCTGTCTTTTGATTGGAGCATTTAATCCATTTACATTCACAGTAATTATTGATAAGGAAGGACTTCCTTGTAAGGAGTTTTGTTATTTGTTTTGTGTGTCTTATAACTTCTTTGTCCCTTATTTCCTCCAGAACTGCCTTCTTTTGTGTGTAGTTCATTTTTTGTAGGGCACCATTTTGTCTCCCTTATCCTTTCCTTTTGTGTGTATTTTTTTAGTTATTTTGTTTGTTTTTAACCATGAAGATTATATTTAGCATTTTGCATTTATAACAACTTTGTTTAAATTGATACCAACTTCATACGAAAACTCTATTCCTGTACTGCTCCTCCCTTTGCTCCTGATTATGATGTTATCACCTATACATCATGTGCCCTGTAACAACCATTTGTACTTATTTTATATGCATGTGTCATTATAAAGCATGAAGGACATAAGAATTGTGTTTTCCAGCCCCACATACCTTAAATCTGGCCTTTATACTTGCCGTGAAATTACCTTTATGGAGATCTTTTTTTTTTTTCCTATGTATCACTTTGATTTACTGTCTAGTGTCTTTTCTTTTCTATCTGAAGGACTTCCTTTAGCATTTCTTGTAGGGCAGATCTAGGGTACCGTATTCCATCAGTGCTTGTTTCCTCCTCATCTTGAAGGACAATTTTGCAGGATATAGTACATACTTTATTTTGCTAAGTACTGACAGCTCAGTGTCTGCTATCTCAAACTGGCTTTATTTGACATCCTTATTTTACTGAAGAACTGAGGTTACTCCTAGCCTCTGCCATTTGGAGGAGGCAGGTATGTGAAATAGAATTATTGATTTTAGAAACAGCCTGAAAAAAAAGTTGCGTGTTTCCTTCTCTGTTCTTTAGGTTGGACTATGGACTGCTTCCAGGAATGGGGCCCCTTCATCCAGCTGTGTATTCCTAGTATGCTTATGGTATGCATTGAGTGGTGGACCTTTGAGATTGGAACTTTCCTTGTAGGTTTGCCAGCAGTGAAGTATAAACCTATAAATAACCTGGCTAATCATGTCTGCAGAGCTTTTATGGAAAGTTAGCGTTGTTTCTCTTTCTTGCTTTGTTTCATCTGATTCTCAGGGACGTTTTCGATATATGTTTATTTCAATATAGGTTTATTCAACATTAAGCAGTTTCAAATTGGGCAGGGCTTTAGTTCTACCTCAGTGCATTCATTTTGTAGATGAGGAAGTTGAGGCCACTGTTTAGAGGTTGGCCAAAGGTCATGGAGTGGGAGAATAAAAACATGGATCCAGATTTCATGATGCTCTGAGTCTGACTTCTGCTTCAGCTGATTTTTATTAGGCATCAGGCCAAGTTTAAAGATATTTCCAGACATAGAGTTGACCAGTGTTCATATTAGAACTATTATATTTTTGGTCAGGTATTCACCTTAACCATCTCATTATTAGTAAAGTAATAGTAATAGTATACAGATAGGATGATAATAATTGATATTAAAGGTTTTTTGGATGTTTGAATGCTTTAAAAGTCCTATCAGTTATCTAAAAGAATATTATTGTCCACTGTCCTTTTCCTACCCACATCATGACCCCTTGTCTCCATGGAGAATGTTAAAAGAGACCTACAACTCTAGGAGCCTCATTTTTAACTACTTTAAACCTCATGTTTTGTTCCCTGATGGAATAAGTGCTTGTAGAATGAAACTGTGTCACAGCTGTCTGAGATTTTGGTAACTCCCTTGGAAAGGGTATGTCTGGGGTTCTCAGCAGGGAAAGTGAATTCTGCCATAGGGTGTTGCTTCTGAGGTATTCTTGGCTTCTCATAAATTAAAATATGTTCTAGTTTCATAAGGAAAATGTTTACTTTAATCCACCTTTTGAAGTGGGTTTCCTGTACGTGCTAACATTTTAGGACTGATTAGTGTGGCAGAGCTCGGAGCCCAGGCTGTGGTTTATCAGCTGTCCTCTGTGGCCTCCATGGTAAGAACCTTTGGGGTTGAGGCTCATCACATTCTCTGCATAAGCTCTGCTTGACCACTGTCTTTGTAATTCATTCATCAACATGTATCAAGTGCCCACCATGCTATACACCAGAGAGAGAGGAATCAGCCATTGTGGAAAGAACATGGATTTTTTTGCAGCCAGGTAGACTTAGTTTGAGTCCTGGCCATGTTACTTCCCAACTGTGTTACCATGGGCTAGTTATTTAACCTTCTGAGCTTTAGTTTCCTCATATACAAAATGGAAAAAAAATAATACCAACTTTGCAGGTGAAGATTGAATACAATAATACATATAAAACACTAAGCACAATGCCTGGCACATTTATTTAACAAATACTGTGAACCAACCTGTGGAACGGGTGCTAGGACACAGTGGCGAGTATGATGGATACAGCCTCTGCTTCTTCTGGCTTGCAAACTGGTGGGGAGTCAGAAATAAATAAGTAAACAGATGAATAAGAGCATTAAGAATTATAGAATTCCGGCAAGATGGCGCTCTAGGCAGAAACACCACGCCGTCCCTCCACAACAAAGATCCGAAAAACTAAGCCAAACAGAGAATCAACAGTCCTGAAACCCTAGAACATCAAATGAAGAGATAA